TATTTATAGACAACTGAAATTTTCAATTTTTCTGAAATTTTTTTTTTTGTAGTGTCGATAAAATTTTTTTGGCCCTATCAAAATACTTGAAAATTTCATACAAAGTTCCTCATAAGTTATTCTTATAGTGATTAAAAAATTATAAAAATACATAGGCACGATTTATTTTTATTAGCATTTGAAATTAAAATATTGACTTGATACGTAAAAATTATGGAAATTTTCAAATTATCTTAGATAGAAATTAGATCTAAGATTTGAGCCCGTCTGCCTCTCACGTATGTACTAATATTTGATACTGTCAATAAACGATGGCGGCGCCGCGGAAGCAATGCGAAAGCAGATCCCGCGGCGTCGTCGTCGGTTAAAACGGAAAAAAAAAAAAAGATCTAAGATTTGAAAATTTACTACAAGGCTCCTAACATATTGTTACAATAGCATTTGAAAAATAAATGAAATATAATATAGTCACAAATTTTTTTTATAAGCATTTACAGTTCAAATTTTTACTAAATACATAAAAATTACGGCAATGTTCAAATTATCTTAGATCGAAATTCATAAAAAATTTCCTTTTATACCTAAGATTTAAAAATTTAATACAAGGCTCCTAAAATATTTATACAATAGCAGTTGAAAAATAAAAGAAATGTATAGTCACATTGTACAGCAGAGCGATACCCACTTTACCCGCTTTTTTTGTGTTTGAAGAGAAAATTTTACAATTATTTTCTTATTCATGATTCGTCGATTTCTAAAAAAAAAGCACTTTAGAGTTTATCTTATCGAACCTTATAGATTACTATAGAATATTACGTAGGTATTAACTACCTACAGATTGAATTTTATCGTTTTGGCAATATTCAGGTATTAGTTACCTATAATAATAACAATATTATAYTATATAACTTATTGGTTATTACAACCGTTATATATATACGTCACTTATCCCCTCAATTCAGTAATACTATACAATATTATATAAATATTATGTTAATTTTGTTAGGAAAAAATATCTGTAAAAATGCATTAGATGCTTTGGATGAGTGTCATCATGATGTTTTTCCAATTCTTCATGAAGTTTTGTGTATTCTATGTTCACTCTCAATCAGTGTTTCTACACTCAGGAGGCAAATWTAAAAAAAAACATATTATGTACTGTTAAGTTAATAATATTAACGTATAGCTTGGCTTCTTAACTCTTTGCTTATAATAAGATTTACTATAYATTAATATGATAATATTTAATAGTATAATATGCAGATACATTAATTGAATCTAATAGGTTATAGGTACTTCAYATGCGATTATTACTTTTTCTTGCTCATGCAYTTTGCTTTGCTTATTTAGACTGAAAACATGATTACGCTCCACAATGGGAAATTAACGTCTCATTAGTTTGGCTATTATGTTACATGTGCATAGAGACATTGAGAATGTAATTCACATGTTTGCAAAAATGAAAAACCGGAATAGAAATTTTATATTGTAAATATTTTTTTTTCAATTTTACTTATTGTTTTATTAATAAATATTTTTGTATTATATTCAATACATATTTTATATTTTTATAATTATGTAATACCTACAAATATTGCCTTTTTTATATTTTAAATAAATATTTATATTGAAAAAGAGTGTTGTTATTTATATTTTTGTATTGGTTATAGTTAAATATTTCCAAATAAAATAATGAGGGGGGGGGGGTTGAACGTCATTATCTCTGTGGATTTGAAATTTCACCCCCTCCCCATCAGAAATAAGATATATCCGCCACTGAATTAGTATGTCTATGTAATTACTAATTTTTTTTATTATTTTATTCCTTGTATTAATAATTATACTACCTACTGGCTACTTATATTGAATTACTTATTAAAAATGT